GAGCTCTCCAAATGTCTAAAAGACGCATTTGCAATTGCACACGTTTGTAAAGTAATACAAAAAGACTGACAACTGATAAATGACAAAACACAAGCCTTTTGTCATATAAAAGGCTGATCTGGTACAACCTTGAACTTTTTTTCCCCTTAATATTGTCACAGCAAGGTTTTTACATCTGGGCGACTTCTGTGGAGACTGTAGCTAAAACAGCCTTTGACATGTGTCTCACTTCTGAATTACAGATGCACCCAAGTCAGTTGCCCGCCAGTCTGTTGCTATGGCAACCACATGCCTTATACATTTTAGTTGCCTGCTGGTATCAACTCCAGTATCACTGCTGTTTTCTCTGTGCCCTCGCTGTCCTTCAGTGTGTGTGTGTGTGTGTGTGGCTGTCTGGATGAGCTTGGTGTTGACTCAGGGCTTTAGTTGGGGTTTCTAAGCCCAGCAAGGAAGAGCTCTCATCCTGCGTGTTATAAAGGTAATGCTTTATTTGGAGAGAGAGAGAGAGAGAGAGAGAGATGGATGTGTATTCTGTTTATTTTTATTGTAGACTTAGGGAAAAAGATGCAGTGCAAATGTTGTGCACATCGGAGTGACTTATAGGGAACGTTTTTTTTCTTCTGCTGCTTAAACCCAGAGACAGACAAGCTGCTGTGTCATTTGACATTACTGGCAGAAGTGCTGATGCAGGGAAAACAGGCTTGTTTTCATCACTTCCAGACAGCTTTATGGATCTGACAAGGTTGTATTTTCCTTGCTGCACTGTGCATGTGGTTTTTAGACACTCGCTCAAGATACGTTATTTTGCTTGTGGTTAACTGACGAACGTTAAAATAAAACTAGAGTATGTTTAAGTCTAAAATCTAACAGAAGTAAAAAGCTTTGTGTCATTATTTAGCACTGATGAATGATGCTACTGAGATGAAATGAAAATGGTTTTTAATCAGAGAAAAGAAGGTGAAAGTATTCAGTCTGGTATTTTGGAGCTTTGAGTGCACGGATAGTTCTTCTATTGTGTGTTTGCTGACATTTTTGTGTCTAAATGATCCTGCATCGATGTGCTCTTTTTCCTCTTGTCTTAAAAAATGTTCAATGTGTTTTTTTAGTTCACCAGCCATTAGAACATGTGACCTTATTCTGATCATCGATTAGTCACCAGTTACTTTGGTAATTCGTAGACTAGATCCTGCATAAATTGCAGCTTATTGCACCAGCATGCTGCTGAAGTGTGTGTGTTCTCCATTAACCTAGAACGCTTTAAGACTGTAACATAGCGTAAGAAAACACTAGTGTCTGTAACAATACAGCAAACACATGGCTTGTGTGCTAAAGGTGAGGAAATCGCCATCACAACTGTTAACGCTTCTATAGCAAATCTGACCTACAGCAACAGAAACTGGTCTTTCCACCATCTTGATCAGATGCACCTTTCCTAATGCAACCTTCCTAAATCTGCTCTCATTTCTCCAGCTGCTCAGTTTTGTTATGTTTAATTGAGGATATAATGGTTGCATGATAACTCTTGTCAATGTTTGATATTGTGGAAAAATGTGTTCCACTGCACATGCTCTATACCATTTAAAAAAGCATGCTTTTCTGATTAAAATCTATAGAAAATATAATTAATTGAAAATAGCCTTTTTAGCTTGTGAGTATTTCACACTAATGTACGTTTTATTCCAGTTCCGGGGTCTGTTGTGTGACGGAGCCAACCTGAGTGAATTTACCATGAAGACATCTCCTTTCATTTTCAGTTAACCACCTTTAGAAGGAAAGATTTTTCCCTTCGGAAACGCAGAAAAACACACGACACATAAATTTGTCATTGCTATTGAGAATAGGGAAAGGCTGCTTTGAGTTGGTGGGTGGGCAGTGTTAAGTGTTCCCGGAAGAAGCGTGTGTGTGTGTGTGTGATTGTGGGGGATGTTTGAGCTTATGTGTGGGTGAGGCTGAATAGAAAAACATCCTGAAACAGCAGCATTAAAAAAGAAACTAAAACAGGCCACTTCTATAAGCACCACTGCAGTGCATATCAGGTTTTGGTTACAATCAGCTCATGTCTGGGGAATTTTTAAACATGCATATAGGTGGTAAAGTTCCCAGTTTAACATCTAGTGCAGGGCAGCTGTGGCAGAGGAGCTAAGCGCCCACCCTGTTATTGTATCCTTGGGCGAGACGTTTAACCCACATGCCTGCTAATGGCAGTTTGAGGTACCGTGGCGCCTTAGTTCCATCAGAGATGGGGGGTGGAATACAATATCTGAATTGTATCAGTTATGTAAATAGTTCTTGCTTATAAATTATTGCTTTAGAAAGGTCAAAGGTGTAGTGGGAAAAATCTACATTTTCCTTTTCAAACACTTTGTTTTGTTTTCTTGTTTTTTACTTGACTATTTTTCTGTCCTGTCTGTCTCTCATCTCCATGCATCTCCTCTCAACCTACAGAAGAACTGCTGCCTGGCTTCCTATATTTTCACCTCATGAGTTACTTTTGAACTAAGCGATTCAAAGGGATCATCTGACCGAACACACTGAAGCGGTGCATTGCAGATCCGGATGCGGAGCTCTGGAAAGTTTCTGCAAGAAGTCAATTTTCACGAACTCGCCATGTGGATTGTCATGAAGTTTAAGAAATGACATGAGCCAGACAGGAAGTTAGATGTAGTTCAGCAAGGTGCATATGGTATACTTCAAAATAAAACCTTTGTTGCATCAGTTTTCAGTGCATGGTAGTTCACGTTATAGTTACAGGTGTATTTTTAAACGTATAGTGTGAACATTCTATTCACTTGGTGCTCTTGTGGGAGCAGATGTCCAGAGAGTTTCAGCGCAGAGGACCATAGCGTTTGCAAAACGGGATTTTCCTCAGCTCCCTGGGGAGGATAAAGGTAGTTTATAAGATCAGACCGTGGCGATAATGTGGCGCAATCGTGGCAATTTTATAAAAAATTAGGTGATGGCGGTATAAAGGGGGTATGAGGGTGGCCTCTGTGCTGCCTCAGACTTCTGTTTATCTTGGACATAACTTGCTTTTTATTGCGATTGAAGCCGTGATTGTTAAGTTTTTTTTAACAAGCAGCTCCTAAAGGTGTCTGTCCCATCAGTCTCTGTGCAGCCTCTGGTGATCTGAGCTTCAGCTCTAACGGAGAGGCTCGTGGAGCGCTGCGGCACTCCAGTTTGCCATGTCAGCTGTATTTGTTCAAAAAGCAAACCTTATTACCTGTGTTTAATTTCACTTTCAATAAATTGCCAGGCGGAGCTCAGCATTAACTCCCCACGTCATCATGACATCTGCCTCTGTTGCGCCAGTGCACATAAGACAGACCATTACCGCAATATTACTACCAAGCGAGGCGGAACAAATGCCACAAAATTCGTGCAACGCCATACCGGCATGGCGCGTTTATAGACATACCATTGCGGTAATATTACGCCAATTTGCCGGCATGGTGTGTTTTATAAAAGAGGCTAGTGTGAATGGCAGTTCTTCCAGAAGCTGTGTGGAAACCATCGACATACATATATGGACAATGGGTTTCCATAGACTCCAATAATGTTTTTGTACTAAAATGGGAGGTGGCCACCACCGCCATTTTGACCGTGTCACAGGTTCCGTCAAGCCCAGACAATTCCACAAAAGGGAAGAGAGATGGAGCTGAGGGTGGGGCTGTAAGGCTGGGATCAACTGACGACACCCGGTCGAACTAGCTACAAGCTAACCTGAAGCTAACCCAAAGCTAACGCAGAGGTGGGAGCTAAGCTAACGGAGGTAGCAACCTAGCTACAACCGGAGTTAACTGTGCACAACACCAGAGCTTCTGAGTTAGAGATACGCCGGGCTGACCGCTGGATAAAACCGGGTGGAACACAGAGGTCTCCGAGAGCTCCACAAGCCGGCAGCCACACAGCAGACAAGCGCCGCGGCGATCTGAGATGTGCAGAGCTGCCGCTGGGGAGAACCGGGTGGAAAGGTTTCCATCCCAGAGCTCCACAAGCCGGCAGCCCGCGCAGCAGACAGAAGCCACGATCAGACAGAGATGCGCCAAGCTGCGGGGAGTGGAGAACGGGTGGAAAACATCGGTTTCCATCCAGAGCTTGACAAGCCGATAGTGGGAACCCAGCTCCACCAACATGTTATATTTCAACCCATTTTCTAAAGTGCAGCATTATGTTAAATGCACTGGGTTTTACCCTATTACATTTAAATTTCATGGTTAAACAGTACATGTTAAAATCTAAGCTCAGCTCGGCAGTGACCTAAAATACATAAATATAGTTTTACTTACAGAAAAAAATGAAGTGGAGACTCCTTGGACGCTCTATTAGTGCAATTAAAGCCACATCAAGTCATTTTGTCCAACAATTGCACAAAAAATATCCAAACAAGAATACACAAACACAGAGACTCAAAATCCCGGAGCAGTTTCCAAGCCAGACCGAGGCTCTACTGAGACCTTTCCACGGAGCTAGCTATGTGGTCACGTGGGTCGGATGCTCATTAATTATACAGAATTTCAGACTTTTAATACACTTAGAAGAGTGAGAAAAAATTCACCCCCCTCAGAGTTGTCATGATTGTAAACTAGATAATTTAAACAAAAAACATGTTTTGGTACCAGGCTGTAAACATGTTTATTTCTGCTGTGAAATTGGTATTTTTAACATGGGAGTCAATGAGGATTTGCTCGCTTCTGACACCAGCCCCCAGCGGATGAGGGTGGAACTGCAATTTTTGGTACTTCCAGGTTGAGACCAATTTTTGAGCCGCATTGTGGGGGCTTGGTGGAAACCAGACCGCTTTCATTCCAGATTTGGTGTTAGTGTGTGCCACATCTAAATTGGTCCAGCCAGAAAAGGTCCCCACAAAAGATCCTATGATCAGCACATTAAAATCTTTCCCAATGTTGGTTCTTGACCAAAATGGGGCACAAAATATAAGGAAATATGAAGAATATTTGTTCAGACTTGGGTAATTGGTGTGCCTGTTTATTTTTTTCCAGAGCAAGTGTCTGCACGGATTGTGCAAGAAGTGACGGCAGAGGCAGTGGCAGTACTTAAGGGGGAACAGGAAACTCAGCGGCTGCCGTCAGGTGAGGCACACCTGTGCAGGGGCTGCACACTATCGGCTACAAATGAACCTCCATATGAGCTAGCATGGGATAAGGGCCAGAGCAAACTCTGCAGCCCTCTTGTGATTCAGACACAAATCTAGATCACTTTGAGTCAGCATTTCTCACACCTGCTACATTAATGTGATGAAGGACGATGCTCCTATTTTTATTTTTACCGCTTATTTCTTACCTTATCTTCTGGTTTGCAACTTTACAACTTTACAGTCGAAGATACCACCAATTTGCCTCCCTCCCCTCCCCCTTCACCTGCAGCTGAGCACTTTGATCCTTTGGAGCAAGGTAGGCCATCATAAATAATAAAACACAAAATAATTTCTAATCTTTACAACTATGGTTATCTTTTTTCCCCTTCATTATAGCTTCTGGAGTTTTAGCATTAGCAACACATTTAAGTGCTGGTGTGTACTAGCGCTGCTCCCCACTAGTCCAAGACATACCCCCACTTTTAGGGAACACATTGAAACTCGCTAAAGAAACATGCCAGAGCTACTAAATATAACAACACGTTATCTTTTTTCCTGTCATCCATCTCCTAAGCATCCTCTTCATCACACACCTGAAACCATACCTTCATTGTCACCATCACTGATCCTGAATGAAGACCCTTCCAGATGCATGAACACTTTCTTACTCTTATTCATTCACTATTCTTTCTAACCCCCACACGTTGCTGTCTTCCACATGCACTAATATGACACTCGATTTAGGTACTCGTCCAACTTCTTATTTGTTCTTTGAGGTTTATTTTGTTTTCCATCTGTAACCACTGTGTTGTGTTTTTTGGCAATTGTCTACAAAAAAAATACATATTTTTATTTCCTGTGTTGGGTTAAGGCCACAAGTTAGAGGTTTGTTGCCATAAATGTTCATTTAAATCAGTGGTGTGCCCAGATCTTTTAAAATGGGGTGGCCCAGGTAATGCACTTCTTTGTGCATGGGTGGCACCAGTGGTTATCCTTTTTTTTTTACCCCAAGCTTTTTGTGGACAAGTCTATCTAAAGGTAATTCAGTGGTCTGTTCAATCAGATTCCAAGGTTGGCATGTGCTACCCCAGGCCACACCCTGGACACATCCCAGATTTAAATGAAGCAGAGCTGAAAAAGGAATAGGCAAGTAAAAAAAGGAAATAAATTAAACAATATTCTTTTTGTTTCAAAAGGCAGCTTGATATTTTATTTCAAGTTAACATGTTAGTGGTTTATTGACTATAGCACTGGAGAAACGATTTTAGCAAAAGTCAGTGGCTAAGCTTTGTTCCTAACCAATCAGAGCTGTAGGAAGATGTAGTTATTTGGAAATTCAATGGATCTTTGGGTCAGTACATACTAGGGCAGCACGATTCTGGCTAAAATGAGAATCACGATTTTTTTGCTTAGAATTGAGATCACGATTTTCTCACAATTTTTTTCCGATATAAATATTTATTGCACGTATTATATGCACGTCAACTTTGTAACAGCTAACACTGAACATCGTCATCGTCGTTGTCTTCCTCCGCTTATCCGGGTCCGGGTCGCGGGGGCAGCATCCCAACTAGGGAGCTCCAGACCGTCCTCTCCCCGGCCTTCTCCACCAGCTCCTCCGGCAGGACCCCAAGGCATTCCCGGACCAGATTGGAGATGTAACCTCTCCAACATGTCCTGGGTCGACCCAGGGGCCTCCTGCCGGCAGGACATGCCCGAAACACCTCCCCAGGGAGGCATCCAGGAGGCATCCTGACCAGATGCCCAAACCACCTCAACTGGCTCCTTTCGATCCGGAGGAGCAGCGGTTCTACTCCGAGTCCCTCCCGAATGTCCGAGCTCCTCACCCTATCTCTAAGGCTGAGCCCGGCCACCCTACGGAGGAAACTCATTTTGGCCGCTTGTATCCGCGATCTTGTTCTTTCGGTTATTACCCAAAGCTCATGACCATAGATGAGGATTGGGACGTAGATCGACTGGTAAATCGAGAGCCTGGCTTTCTGGCTCAGCTCCCTCTTTACCACGACAGATCGGCTCAGCGTCCATATCACTGCAGATGCCGAACCAATCTGCCTGTTGATCTCCTGATCCCTCCTACCCTCACTTGTGAACAAGACCCAGAGATACTTAAACTCCTCCACTTGAGGTAGGACCTCTCCCCCGACCCGGAGTTGGCAAGCGGCCCTTTTCTGGTCGAGAACCATGGTCTCAGATTTGGAGGTGCTGATCCTCATCCCAGCCGCTTCACACTCGGCCGTGAACCTACCCAGCAAGAGCTGAAGGTCAGAGCTGGATGAAGCTAGGAGGACCACATCATCTGCAAAAAGCAGAGACGAGATTCTCCTGCCACCAAACTCGACACACTCCACACCACGGCTGCGCCTAGAAATTCTGTCCATAAAGGTAATGAACAGAACCGGTGGCAAAGGGCAGTCCTGGTGGAGTCCAACCCTCACCGGGAACAGGTCCAACTTACTACCGGCTATGCGGACCAAACTCACGCTCCTCTGGTAAAGGGACTGAATGGCCCTTAACAGAAAGCCACCCACCCCATACTCCTGGAGCGTCCCTCACAGGGTGCCCCTGGGGACACGGTCATAAGCCTTCTCCAAATCCACAAAACACGTGGATTGGTTGGGCAAACTCCCATGCCCCCTCCATCACCCTTGCAAGGGTATAGAACTGGTCCACAGTTCCACGGCCAGGACGAAAACCACATTGCTCCTCCTCAATCTGAGATTCAACTATCAATCTGACCCTCCTCTCCAGTACCTTGGAGTAGACCTTTCCAGGGAGGCTGAGGAGTGTGATCCCCCTATAGTTGGAACACACCCTCAGGTCACCCTTCTTAAAGATGGGGACCACCACCCCGGTCTGCCACTCCACAGGAACTGCCCCCGATGACCACGCAATGTTGCAGAGACGTGTCAACCATGACAGCCCTACAACATCCATTGCCTTGAGATACCCAGGACAAACCTCATCTGCCCCCGGGGCTCCGCCGCTGTGTAGTTGGTTGACTACCTCAGCAACTTCTGCCCCCGAGATTGGACAGTCCATCCCCAGGCCTCCCTGCTCTGGTTCCTCCTCGGAATGCGCATAGGTGGGATTGAGGAGCACCTCAAAGTATGCCTTCCACCGTCCGACTATAGCCTCAGTTGATGTCAGCAGCTCCCCATCCCCACTGTAAACAGTGCGAGCGAGTTGCTGCCTTCCTCTCCTGAGGCGCCGGACAGTTTGCCAGAGCATCTTTGGAGCCCATCGATAGTCTTTCTCCATGGCCTCACCAAACTCCTCCCACGCCCGAGATTTTGCCTCAGCAACTGCCACTGCTGCACCCCGCTTGGCTATCCGGTACCTGTCTGCTGCCTCCGGAGACCCACAGACCAGCCACGCCCTGTAGGCCTCCTTCTTCAGCCTGATAGCTCCCCAAACCTCTGGTGTCCACCGGGGGTACGGGGGTTGCCACCACGACTGGCACTGGCCGCCTTGCGACCACAGCTAGCAACAGCTACCTCAACAATCGCAGAGTGGAACAAGGCCCACTCGGAGTCAATGTCCCCCACTGCTCTCGGGATGTGGTCAAAGCTCTGCCGGAGGTGGGAGTTGAAGACCGTCTTAACAGGTTCTTCTGCCAGGAGTTCCCAGCAGACCCTCACTATGCGTTTGGGTCTGCCAGGTCTACGTGGCATCTTCCCCTGCCATCTGATCCAACTCACCACCAGGTGGTGATCAGTTGACAGCTCCGCTTCTCTCTTCACTCGGGTGTCCAAAACATACGGCCGCAGGTCAGATGATACGACTACAAAGTCTATCATCGACCTGCGACCTAGGCTGCCCTGGTACCAAGCGTACCGATGGGCATCCTTATCTTCGAACATGGTGTTCGTTATGGCCAAACTGCGGCTTGCACAGAATTCCAATAACGAAACACCACTTGAGTTCAGATCAGGCGGGCCGTTCCTCCCAATCAAACCCCTCCAGGTCACGCTGTCATTGCCCATGTGAGCGTTGAAGTCCCCCAGCAGGACAATGGAGTCCCCTGATGGAGCACTATCTAGCACTCGTCCCAGGGACTCCAAAAAGGGTGGGTACTCTGAACTGATATTTGGCCCATAAACACAAACAACAGTCAGGACCCGTTCCCCGACCCGAAGGTGCAGGGAATCTACCCTCTCTTCCCCCGCGGTAAACCCCATTACACAGGCGGAGAGTCTTGGGGCTAACAAAAAGCCAACCCCAGCCCCCCGCCTCTCACCCGGAGCAACTCCAGCAAAGGAGAGTGTCCAACCCCTCTCAAGGACTTGGGTTCCAGAGCCAATGGTCTGTGTCGAGGTGAGTCCGACTATATCTAGCCGGCACCGCTCAACCTCTGCCACAAGCTCCTGCACCTTCCCCGCCAGCGAGGTGACGTTCCATGTCCCAAAAACCAGTTTTCTTGTCCAGGGATCGGACCGCCAAGGCTCCCGCCTTGGTCTGCCACCTGTCTAACACTGAACATAAAAACAATAAATGTCTCTCTTGTCTTTTACGTACACAACCTTTGAATATTTTTAGCAATAACAATTTTGAACAAAATTCTGCATGTTCTTGTTGTTCTTTCCTACCAGCTGGCTTCTGCATCTTGTCGTGTACATCACATGGTATAAGGCTCTGTCGTTGTCATCTGTTGAGGGAGAAAAACGGAGCGCTTGTTTACGTGCAGATTTTGTCCCGGATCAAAATGGGGTACAATTTTGTTGTCATCTTCTTCTTGTTCTTTTAAAAAAAATTTTTTAGACCGATGTCATTTGGGACTGAAATTGCATACAAGTATGAATTGAGATCACGATTTTTTAACGATTAATTGTGCAGCCCTAGTACATACTGTTCCACTGAGTGGATCTAGGAAACTGTAGTGAAGAGGTTTGATTTAGTTGGTTTTATGATTCTACTGTTGCAAAGTAAAGTTGCCGTTGTGTAAAAGTATATTTTGTTAGAATTTTTAAGAAATGGTTTTATTTTTATGAAGTGGTGCAGATTTCTACCTGAAAAGATGAATTATGATGATTTTGTTGGTCGCAGATGAAGGCTGGCCCCTTGATGCTTTGATACCTGAGTAGCTTGTCACTGTCTACTTGTTGCTGTGTGTTCCTTTACTTTTTCCATTTTTTGTGACTGTTTTCAGACTTTTTTTTTTTTGCCAATTCAGAATGTATTTTTATTTGTTTCTCTCTTCAACTATGCAAATCAAAAATGTTCATCTTAAACAGTTTTTTGTTGAAGACTTACCATACCATATAATCTAGACCAACCAATTTTTTAGATATTATTTAAATTTTATATTAACCGATGTTTAAGATGGGAATACTGAATTATTTAAATTGACCCTTCCAACATCATTAATACTTAAATCAGATAAGGATTTATTTTTACTTTGCACAGCGATCACCAGAGGATTTGGCCAAATAATGTTGCAATGCTCTCAACAAATCTGAAATTGACCATTTTTGTCAAATTCCCTTTAAGATGTCCATTTTTTTGTCTGTTTCCCCATTTTTTTCTTTCGCCTTCCTCTTCACACACTCTCTTTCAGTCTTTGTCCAAACTTCCCTGCAGTTCTTCTCCTTGTGTCTGTCTTGTTCGTAGATGTAGGGGATGAGGAGGAAGCGGGCCCTCTCCGCCGCTTCCAAAATTCTCGGGAGAGGTGCAAGTTCCTCGCCCCCTCCATCTCAGTTTCCATGCCCGAGGACGACCCCTACCACTCCGACGAGGAGTACTATGAGCACCCATTGTTCAGCCCTGAGTGGACGCACTCGGGCGCTCGCCCCACTGGGCACGCCGTGGCCTTTAGACAGATTGAAGGTGAACCACGCATGGTTCCTCTTTGTCATTCTCCTCTCATCTCCTCACTCTTTTGTTTCCTTCCTTCTGTGATTCCACTTTTTTTCCATCATCCCTTGCTCTTTTTTTTCCTCCCGTCTCTCCGTCCGTCAGCTTGTCTATTTGTCTGTCACTGTGTTTGGTTTGTGTGTCCTCGTAATGTTTGCCCATTCGAAATCTGACCGGTTCATTGAATGTTCATACTTTCTTTCCTTCTTTTCATCCATATTTTATAAAAAGCCATCACTAGCTGTGGTTACCATGCTGTAAACTCATTGCATAGGTGTGATGTCCTAAAAATATGACTATTTTGTTTTTGTGAGTTATTCAGTAAACATTCACATCAGTAAGACCACATGGCCCACGTCTTGACTCTGATGACACATGAAAATGACCTTTTTTGTGACCATCTCAGACATATGCACAAAACAAATCTCCTCACCAAAGTCAGACTTGTATTTGTGATCCTACATCAAGATAAACCCTTGTTTACTAGAACCATGTTTCCACTATTGGAGTTCCGGGAAATTTCAGGGAGGGAAAATATGCTGGCTTGGTCTTCTCAGCTGCTGTTTCCATGCCAAAGCGGCCCTTTCAGGACCTTGCTAAGACGTCGGTATATCGCAACTGTTTCAGCAGGAAGTGCCATCACTGATTGGTGACAAAATGAGTCCATGGATAATTTAATCTATTAGGGGGACTGGGAGAGTGTCTGTGTGACATAAAAAGTGGTGTTCAATGACCAAAAGAAGCATACTTTTTTTATGGCGCTCTGTAGCCAAAAGTAGTGGCCAAAAGTATGGCATTGCAGACACATTTCCACCACATTTAGAAAAGGTGTTTAGAACCCTAACCCTCACCTATGGTCATGAGCTTTGGGTAGTGACCGAAAGAACGAAATTGCGGATAAGTGGCCGAAATTAGTTTTCTCTGCAGGGTGACTGGGCTCTCCCTTAGAGGTAGGGTGAGAAGCTTGGTCATCCGGAAGGGGCTCGGAGTAGACTTGCTGCTTCTCCACATCAAGAGGAGTCAGTTGAGGTGACTCGGACATTTGGTTAGGATACCTCTTGGACGTTTCGCTGGTGAGGTTGTCCGGGCACGTCCAAAGGGGAGGAGACCTAATGGGAGACCCAGGTAACGTTTGAGGGACTATTGGGCCATTCCCATCTGTACCGGGTCGGCCCTGGCCGGGTAGCGTAGGTTGTTTACATATCTGGGTGGCCTGGTATTTTTCCGGGCCAACCGAGGCTCATTCTCAGCCCTCTTCTCGAGGTGGTCTGCTTCAGGCCGACCAGGGCCAACACACACACTGCTGACAGCAAATTCACACCTTCCATTAGAGCAAACCTCTGATTGGTGGGTAGAATCAGCCCACATGGGCTTAAGGCAAGGATGTGTGGAATCAACCGGGCCAGGCTGGGGCCGACTGGGGCTACCCGGCCCGGGCCGACCCGGTACAGATGGGAATGGCCCATATGTCTCTCACCTGGCCAGGGAACGCCTTAGGATTCCCCCGGAAGAGTTGGCCCAAGTGGCTGGGGAGAGGGAAGTCTGGAATTCTCAACTTAGGCTGCTGCCCCCGTGACCCGACCCCGAATAAGCGCAAGAAAATGGATGGATGGTTTAGAAAAGGCAATTTTACAGCACCGTAACTGTTGCTTATTTTCTTTTCTTTCCATTTGCTTTATCCGTCACTCTTACTATAACAGCAAATGCTGGTTGTTTGGCTACGTCTGCCCATCATTTCCCACTAATTTACAACCAATTGACACGAGTTAGTAACAGCTCCTGCCCGGTCATTCTACTGGGCCATTTATGAGTACATCATGGGCCAGATAATGGTTCTTTTGGGAAAGTTTGTTGAAGCGACACGTAAATGCCAGAAAGGTCCGAAGGTCCGGTAAAATTGCCCAGAAGTTCCGATAGTGGAAACGGGCCTTTAGCGTACTATACCTGAGTATACACTGGTTTAATATTGTTTGTGACAACAAGGAAGACTTTCAGCTCCAACACAAACACACACACACACACACAAACACACACACGCACACACACACCAGACAATAGCTTAAAAATCTGAGCCTCATGCTCCGGCGCTTTATACACTTATTAATTTTAAACCAGTATTTTTATAGCCAATAACAGTGAAAGTAAAAAAAAAAAAAGTCCAGTTTAATCCATTTCACTTTTGTTCCATTCAGTCTAGTTACAACCCAATGAAGTTCAATCATACTTCGATTCAGTTGAAACTGCCTGTTCCTTAGTCTCCCCTAAATTTCCCCTGAACAAAACATGGATGTAACCCTTATGCCCCGAATCACACATGTTGTACTTAAATGAAAAATAATTATGTGTGTTACTTTGTCTGTCATGTAATTTGAGATATGTTTGTAAAAATTTGAAAATCAAAAAGACAGCAAATCAGACCATGCATATATATACATACATATATATATATATATATATATATATATATATATATATATATATACATACATATATATATATATATATATATATGTATATATATATATATATATATATCTATATATATATATATATATATATATATATATGTATATATATATGTGTGTATATATATGTGTGTATATATATATATATATATATATATATATATATATATATATATATATATATATGTATATGTGTATATATATGTATATATATATATATGTATATATATATATATATATATATATATGTATATATATATATATATATATATATATGCATATATATATATGCATATATGTATATATATATATATATGCATATATATATATATATATATATATATATATATACATATATATACATATATATATATATATATATATATATACATATATATACATATATATATATATATATATATATATATATATATATATATATATATATATATATATATATATATATATATATGTATATGTTTATGTATTTAGCAGACGCTTTTGTCCAAAGCGACTTACAAGTAATAATCGGCATGTTGCTCTTGAGGCTAACAACAACAATAACAACAACTTGACATCAATCATGGAGAGGAAGGAACAAGGAGTGGACAGTAGAGAGGGGGGACGAGTGCAGGGAGGGTGCTAGTTAAGAAGATGCTCTCTGAAGAGCAGGGTCTTCAGGAGTTTCTTAAAAGTCGAAAAGGAAGCCCCTGTTCTGGTAGTGCTTGTTAGGTCATTCCACATTTGTGGAACGATGCATGAGAAGAGTCTGGATTGTCCTGAGTGTGGTGTAGGCACTGCTAGCCGACGATCCTGTGATGACCGGAGCGGCCGGGCCGAGACGTAAGCCTTTGCAAGAGGATTCAGGTAGATGGGAGCCGTACCATCTCGAACTTTGTTTGCTAGTGTTACCAATTTGAATTTGATGCATGCTGCTAGCGTTAGCCAGTGGATCTCAATGAACAGAGGGGTGATGTGTGCTCTTTTTGGCTGATTGAAGACCAGACGCACAGTACACAGTACAGCCTGGAAGACCATTTAGAAGGGCATTGCAGTAATCGAGGCGGGAGATGGCAGTAGATTGCACCAGGAGCTGGGTGGCATGCTGTGTTAGGTATGGTCTGATCTTTCGTATATTATACAGCGTAAAGCGGGATGAACGAGCAACAGAGGCAACATGATCTTTAAAGGTCAGGTGTTCATCAATCACATCACCCAGATTTCGAACTGCCTTTGAAGGAGCCAGAGATAGGAAGTCATTTTGGATTGAGATATTGTGTTGTATAGATGTTTTTGCTGGGATGACAAGTAGTTCAGTTTTAGAGAGGCTGAGTTGGAGATGGTGAGATTTCATCCATTTTGATATGTCAGAGAGACAGTTTGATATTCGTGCAGAGAGAGTGTGGTCGTCCGGTGGAAATGACAGATAGAGCTGGGTGTTGTCTGCATAGCAGTGGTAGGAGAAGCCATGTGATCGAATGAGCTCACCCAGTGAGGTGGTGTATATGGCAAAGAGAAGATGTCCTAGTACAGAGCCCTGGGGGACTCCTGTGACAAGATTGTGCACGGTAAAGGATTGTCTAAGCCAAGATACACTGAATGATCGTCCTGTGAGGTACGATTCAAACCAGGTGTGTGCTTTCTCTGTGATGCCCATGCTAGAGAGTGTGGACAAAAGGAAGCCATGGTTGACAGTGTCAAATACAGTCGATAAGTCAAGCAGGATAAGCAATGAGGATTTGGCAGTCGCTCTAGCTTCTTTTAAGGATTCAGTCACTGCTAACAGAGCAGTTTCAGTGGAGTGGCCCATTTTGAACCCAGATTGGTAAGGGTCAAGCAGACAGTTTTGTGAGAGGTATTCTGTAATCTGCTTGAAAACTACCCTTTCAATGATTTTGGACAGAAAAGGGAGAAAGATATATGTTGGTAGTTCTCCACATGATTTGGAGGAAGAGATGTTTTTTTTTTAGCAGCGGTTTAACCTGAGCATGCTTGAGAGAGGTGAGAAATTTACCGGATGTCAGTGAAGCGTTGATCACATGTGTGACTGCTGCGGCTACTGTAGGAGCAATAGCTTGGAGCAGCTTAGTCGGAATGGGGTCGAGTGGGCATGTAGTAGGGTGGCTGCACGTGAGAAGCTTGGACACACAGTACTCAGTGAGAGGGGAAAAAGAGGAAAATGAAGCAGTAGGACTTGAGATGGTTGGGCTAGAAGTAGTTTGTGGTGGCGAGTGTTCAGGAGTGGGCAGCAATCAATTCCCCTCTGGGATTAAAAAAGTATTTTTGAATTGAATTGAATTGAGCAAACTGTTAGCTTATAGCTGCAACTTTGTCAGTGAAGAATGAGGCATATATGTATATATATATATATATATACTGTATACACACACACACACGCATATACAGCCAGATTTATTGTAGTTTATTCACATTTAATCCTCCTTTCATCCTGGAAGAAGAAATTCGAAGCTCAGTAAACTTACAGCCATTTTTCTTTTCCTCATCTTCATGTCTGGCTTGATGATGTAAATTAGGTGAGATGAGCGGTTTGAGTGCTCTACATGTTTTCACACATAACCTAAAATATCTTTTGCCACTCTCCAAAAATAAGTGCTGTCTTGGCGCATCAAAATGTGTCTTTAAAATTCACAGACATCATATGTGAAATCCACAAGTGGGAAAAGTAAGGGGGACCCAAGTGTCTGGAGGAAGATGGGCGTGACTTAGATTCCTTGTTGTATTCAATTGTAGTGATTTTTTAAAACAGATTTATCATGAATTAAAACGAACTTTATCAAACATTTTTTTGTGAAACAAAATTCTTTTTGATTTTTAGTTTTTTTTATGTAGACCACCATCTTCAGTTACATTCTTCCATCAGCAGGACAAATACCCAGCATGTCCAAAAGGAGGAAATGTTGATACAAGCAAAATAGGAACAGGCAGCCCTCTTACAGCAGGAAACTTGTTTAATTAAAAGCACTTATTGGAAATAATGATGTAATTTACACAGAAGATTGATCTGAGATGCACCATTATGTGTGCAAGAAAAATAAAAGTATCCAGAATAGATTTTCTGCTACATTTTCCAAACCACGCATCGTACAACACTTTGTATATTAAATCTTTATTTTGTCTTTTCACAGAGCTGAAAGTATCCTCTCATAAGTTGTGTTCTCACATAACCCAAGTCTGTGTTGCCTGTAGTCTTAATGTGTCCCCCCCTTTCACCCTGTGTTGAGAAGAAGAGACCATGGAGGCTCTTACAGCTGAATACGAGGAGGAGGAGGTGGAAGAGGATGATGAGGAGGAGAGTGCAGAGGCAGCAGAATCCGAGGCAGCTCTTGATGAGCAGCAGTGGAGTGGGGACGAGCCCGAGCTGGACAGCCCCCAAGCTGAACCTTTAGATCAGACAGAAGCCATAGACGAGGCCCAGGATGTAGACCTGGGGCAGTCTGAGGCAGTTAGTGCTGCTGCAGAAAGCTCTATGGACAGAGAGGAGGAGGAAGCAGAGGGTGAGGAAAGCCATGAGACAGGTGTGTCCTGCCCTCTGCTCTCCCTGTCTGCATGTTTCTGCTTCATCCACTTTATTAGAAGGCAAGTTGTGTCACAAGGAAGCAAATACCTTAAGCATTATAATTCAAGTGGAATGGCAAATAATCCTCTGCGCTCTGCTGCGGCTGCAAGGCAACACAGTCTTGTTGGTGAAAACAGCCACCTTTTCTTTAACAACCTGGTTTTACTGTGCTGTTTTTGCTTGTCTTTTATTTTACTTGCTCTTGTTTTTTGGGGCCGGCCGTTTCGTGTTGATATATTCATGTGAAGTGGTGCTAAACGGTGCTTTTTTAATTTTACCAGCTTATAAGCTTACAGTTTTTTCATTATGTGTACACATAATGGCTTGGTGCTGGTATGCCAGTGCTACATATTCTTTGTTACCATTAATCATAGTTGTACATCATTCATTTTATTGATTATTTTTAGTATTTAGAGTTTGAACAGCCCTCTTTGTTTGATACAGGTTTATTTAGAATCACGTCTTAACAAATACAAGAGTCTATAAGCAAAAATACTATTTATTTATTTTTATTCTCATTTTCTAGTTACAACAAATAGCATTTAACTGTCATTCACTAACAAGATGCTTGTCATTTTTGGATGACATATTGGTATTTTATGTGTTTATAAAAAGAAACACGAGTTTCTTCCCAAAGAATCCCAAACATATACAAAGAATGACAGAAATGCCTTTTTGTGACTGATGTTCCTTGCATGGGTATTCCTCCAATCTGTCATATCAGTTTTCCATAAATCCGTTACAGTTGCCTCATGCCGGCTCCATCATGCATCATCTCATTCTTCTCATCCATCTGTGACTTGGTGGAGCGATAATCTCACCGTAACTCTTACGTGATGGCTGTATCATTGTGCTGTAAGTTCACCAGGAGATCTCTGCCTGTTTCCGTGAAAGCTTCACTAGTCATTGGCTTAAAATGAGCTAAATCACGGCATGCTAGGCATTATTTATCTCTGTTTATGAAGCAGTCAACTTACAGATATCTTTACAGCTTTGAAGATGGACTCAGACAAGCACGACAGTGGGTCCATCAGCCCCGACAGCATTGGATCAGAGAAACGTCCAGAAGAGTTTTTTGAGCCTCAGGTGCAAAGTTTCTTCGCTGGGGAACGAGTTGTGCCAGAGAGTCCAACCATGGAAATGCCATCCTTCGTACCTCCAGATATTCAAAATCAAGCCAAAGACTCATCCAAACCTGTGACACTTCAGCCCACATACGGAGAACCAATCACCGTGTCGGAAAAACAGCCATCAGTGGAGGTGGTGGAGTTCAGCAGCATTGGTGCTCCCTCTGATTTTTCTTCAATCGTGGTCAAAGGTCAAGAGGAAGACTCGACAACAGATACCAGAGATAGATCTGGCATGTCTGCGTATTTTGAAACATCAGCTATGGAGGTTGATGAAAGTTCCCATTGTAAAGGGGAGGGATATTACGAACTTAGTCGAGCCGGAGAAAACAAAAGTACAGGCGATTCCAAGTCTCAGGAGATCAGTTACAGCACATTAGCTGAAGTTAAGGAGAAAACTGAAATAACTACGTGTTCTGTAACAGACACTCCACCATTCACGGTTCCTGACAGAAGTAATGAATGCAGACTTTCCCCGGGTAAACTGGCTTTAGAGCAGAGGAGTTACTCACTCAACATCACCATTGGAGCAACAGATCAGACGGGGCAAGGTCGACCCAGGACCTTTTCCCCACTTGCTACAGACATCATGTCATATACAAGTGGAAGTCTAGATGAGTCAGCCGACTACCATCCAGTTACTACGCCCTCTGCAGATAAAACTCCATCATTCCCGCCGCTTATCCTGGAGACTGCAGCCTCTGTGACTTCTGATTCCTCATCTCCTCCACGGACTGCTGAGCCCACCACCAATACCAGCCCTGAACCAGATTCTCCAGAATCACCTCAGCCACCTAAACTCTCTGACAAAAATGGCACTGTGATGGCGCAAGACTTGCCAGAGTTGCTTGACCTGGCTGGTGCCCGCTCCAGACTAGCTTCAGACAATGCAGAGCCAGACACGGGGCGAAGAAAATCATTCCAAGCTGATGTTCCTTTCCTCATCGATGACCCTCTGGCCAACCTAACTTCAGGAGAACTGAGTCCTGGGGTTAGAAAGAGTGAAAGCCAATCAGAAGAGATGGGCTATTGTGTTTTTAGTGAATATTCAGGGCCCATGCCATCCCCTGCAGATGTACTCAGCCCTATAAATGTCCCTGCACAAGCCTTTACCCATTCTGTCTTGGAGGAGAAAGTTGCTGAGCAGGCAAGAAAATTAGCAGTGAGGGACTCGTCTCTGGAAGACAAAATCCCGACATTGGGAATCAGCGATGTTGACCAGAGGCAAGAGGAGAGAAAAGATTCTGCTGATGAGCAGAACAAAAATCTTGTAAACGATCCACTGATAAAATTAGGAACGGAAATAATTGTTGCTCAGCCAAATGAGTCCTTTGTGACACCAATGGTGACTGTGACTCTAGAAGAAGAAGGCGATAGGTCAATAGGTGAGATGGAACGACAAGCTAGTGGTGAAGCATCTGCATCGGAAACTGAAATAGCGGACTATGAAAGGCAGATCCGCAAATTAGAGATGGAGGACAGGCCTTTGAGTCTGGAAGAGGAACGAGAACTGCAGGAGCTCAGAGAAAAGGTGAAGCTGGTACACCAAGAGGCCTATGAGGAGGTGGATGCAGAGGATGTTTACCAGCTCACTGGCATGGCTAAGGACAGGATTGCCAGACCAGTAAAAACTTCCCCTACTTCATCAGTGGAGAGCAATATAGAAGATGACAAGCTCCTCTCACCGGTACTCTCGCCCTCCAAACTCAAACAAAGAGAAGTGTATGGTTCCCCCAAAAGATCTGTTTCACCTGTGTTAGGAATAAGCAAAGATGAAAAGAAGGAGTCAGAAAGAAAGACGAAGGAGGAACAAGAAAGGGAAGCAGCCGAGAAAGTAAAGGAGGAAGAAAGGAAAAAGAGGGAAGAAGCAGAAATGCTGGAAAAGGAAATAAAAGATAAAGAAGAGAATGAGCGAAGAGAGAAAGAAGAGGCAGAGAGGATACTGAAGGAAGAAAGAGAAAAGAAGGATCGGGAGATGAGAGAGAGTTTGGAAAAAGAGAAAATAGAGAAAGAGCTTAAAGAGAAGGAGAGAGAGCGGAAAGAGCAGGAGGAAAAAGAAACAAAGGAGAAAGAAGAAAAGGAGAAGAAAGAGAAAGAAGAGATGGAGAGGAAATTAAGAGAAGAGAAAGAAGAGATGGAGAGGAAATTAAGGGAAGAGAAAGAAGAGATGGAGAGGAAATTAAGGGAAGAGAAAGAAGAGACGGAGAGGAAATTAAGGGAAGAGAAAGAAGAGACAGAGAGGAAATTAAGGGAAGAGAAAGAAGAGATGGAGAGGAAATTAAGGGAAGAGAAAGAAGAGATGGAGAGGAAGTTAAGGGAAGTAAAAGAGAAAGAAGAGATAGAGAGGAAACAAAGAGAAGAAAGAGAAAAAGAGCAAGAAGAGAGAGAAAGGAGGGAAAGATTAGAAAGAGAAAGAGTAGAGCAGGAACTGAAGAAGACGGAAAAAGAAAATGAAGAGAGGGAAAAAATAGAAATGGAACTTAAAGTGAAGCAAGAGCAAGAGGAAATGGCCGTGAAGAACGATGTCGTTCCAAATCAGGTAGTAGAAGCAAGCCTGCAAAAAGAAGCTTCCAAAGATTGTTCTGAAGATGATGATATAAGCTCAAAGAGTAATGATGATGTGATGAAGAAGGAAGGTGCAGAGGTGCCAAAAGAGATACCAGAAACCCGGGCTGCCATTGAGTCAGTGGTCATGGTTGAAGACGATTTCATCACTGTGGTCCAGACGATCGACGAAGCTGAAGAACCAGGACACAGTGTCCGATTCTCTGCTCTGCCTGAAGCAGAAGCTCTTGGTGTTGCCACTCAGAAGGAAGAAGAAGAGGAAGAGGATGACGAGTCTATTGAGTTGGCCCAGGAAGCAGACATGGAGGACGCTAGTCTAGAGGAAATCGGTGACGTTCCCGAAACACCAGCATCCCCAAGAAGGGAGGCTCGGACTGTTGATACAGAAGGACCCACAGAAAGCTATGACAGAGATGAAACCACAGTAGACGACTCCATCCTGGACAGCTCTTGGGTGGACACACAAGGTGAAACCTTCTAATTAATCCATTGTCTTCACATGTTCTTATTACTTCTTTTTTTTGCTGTTTCAAATTTTTAATCTTAATGTTGTTTTCTTTTTCAGATGATGATCAGAGTATGGCAACAGAGCATACTGAGCCCTTACCAAAGGCGTTTAGTCCAGTCAAGAAGCCGCAGGTGGTCCAGAACAAACAACGGATGACAGAAAAACAAGACAAGCCTGTTAAACCCAAGACCAAAGGAGTGCGAAATAAAGGACGGATCTCCACACCTGAACGCAAACCTGTTTGCAAAGAACCCACCTATATACCCCGGGAAGAGATCAAGAAGAAAAAAGGTTATTAAACTTGTTTCTGCAATATTTCCACCATGATAGCTGGGTTTTGTTTTAGAAAAGTTAAGATATTACCAAAAGTTCAAAAACTGTTTCTAATCATTGCAGCGTCTTTCTGTAAGAGTCACTTGGCCTTGTTTTCTCTGATAATGTAGCTCTCATAAAGAAGGCGGAGCTTACCAAAAAAGTAGAGACTCAGACTCTTTCTCCGTCCAAGAGGATTTTCATGAAGCCAGCAGTGCGCCAGACACGTCCCACCCAGCATCATTCCTGCCCCAGAAGGAGACCCACAGGTGATAACATGCTTTGGTCTGTCACACAGCCGGTGTTTTCTCTGGGACTCATCAGAACACCAGCTCCCATTGCAATCATCGTCCAGTCTTGCATTTCCTTTGATGTTCATTTAACTTTTTTAAATTTTTTTCAAAGTTTTCCTATTTTCCTTTTTTGTTGGTGCCACTGTTTTTGTTCATAATAAAATTCACTTGTAAAAATGTTTCATTTGACCTAATTCAGTGTTCATTTTATTTTCTGTTTGTTTTACATTTATTTGTCTTTGTACTTGAAGGGGTGATTTGGCAGAAAGGTGACCCTTGACCCTTTACATTTTTTAATGCTGAATTGACTTTTTCATCTTTATTGATTTTTGGAAAAGAATTTGATGATTTAATACTTCACCGTGCTCTGGTGTTTGATTTGTCACTATTGTTTCCAAAGTTTCAATATCATTTAAAAGTTTATTGAATTTAAACTGTAAATTCAAACCAATGGTTGCCTTAAAGCTGGGGTCTGAAGTATGGCGCCATGGAGAAGAGGAGGAGATTTTCAAATTTAAACGGCGAAAGCTCCTTCTCCCTTTCAGGAAAGAGAGAAAAGTCATGCCTCATACCGCACACACAGATAGGCAAGGCAGCTTTATTTACACATTTCATACACAGAGGCTATTCAGTTTGCATTCCATCAGCAAGAATAGCATGAACAATAAAATCAACGTGACAGCACAATTAAAAAACACACTAATTTCAGATTTAAGAATCAGAAAAAGCCCAAGATAAAGGGTGAGCAGTTACAGTGCAGAAGGTGCAGTATATTCAAAGGCTGAATACATGAAAGTTTTAAATTTTGATTTAAAAGTTACAAGAGTTGAGGCACATTTGAGTTCATAAGGAAGCGGATTCCATCAGTGAGCAGCAAAGTAGCTCAAAGCATCTTCACCCTGTTTGGTTCTGACCCGGAGTTCCACAAGCTGACAGTTTTCTAAGGAACCCTGCTGAGCATATATACAGGAAGGAAATCCAACATGTATTTTGACCCCGTGCCAGTGGAGGTACTTTGAAATAGATTCTGTAAAACTAGATTTTCTAGTTTACCCTAAATAGCCTTGGAGCGCTAATCTACAAGTAATGTTTTTGATATGTTCCTGCTCAGAAACCTGATTCTAACCATGGAATTATCTCCTCAGTCTCCATTGGGTTCTACAGAACCTCCTAAACACTTGTTAATCTGTAGAGTTCAAGCAGGTAAACATGTAAGACTGGCAAGAATCACGGCTAGCCCTCCCCTGCTACAACAGGCTAAAACAATAGACTAGTGCAAGGGTGCCCAATCCTGGTCCTGGAGGGCTGGTTTCCAGCATGTTTTGGTTTTAACTCTGTTTCAACACATCTGATTTCAATCAGCAGGTGATTAACAGGCTTCTGCAGAGCCTGATGAGCTGCTGCACAGGTGATTCAACCACTGAATCAAGTGTATTGGAGCAGAGGAACCACTAAAATGTGCTGGATACCGGCCCTCCAGGACCAGGATTGGGCACCCCTGGTCTAGTGTAGCATAAGGTTGAACATTACGCTGATCACTTAGCTCCGATACACAAAAGATAAACCCCACCGTCCTCTTCTATAGTTAGCTTGAAGTTTACAGATCAACGATAATTCAATGCGGGCTGGGTTTGCATTCAAGCTAGCTTGGTATCCTAAGCTGACTGCGTGTAAGTGCATTACCCTGTAGTGCACGTAGGAACTGCGGTGCATTATCATTGATTGACAGCTCCGTCTCATGAATACGCAACTCTATTGGTCAATGCTCTTGGCTCGCGTAAATGATTCGTCTTGCTTTAGAGGCCGGGGGAGGGGATGTAGGGGAAATATAAATTATGAACGATTACCTATTTACTCATAGAACAGGGTAGTCAAATTTAAGCATTTAATAAGATACTAAATTTGTTTTTAACTGTGAACCCTAGCTTCAAAACTGCCAATGTCTGATTTAATTCCAAGAACATGATGCTTAAACATAAAAGCTTTAACTGCTCTATCCCAGAGGCAGTTTGCACCTCATTTTTTCCCCCTGATGCATCAAATTTCTGTGTCACCGATGATGAAAGCTCAGTCTGTTGCTGCATTGCCCCAATTAGATTAATTTCCAGGGTTGACTTACATAATACAAAATCCTCCATTCTGTGTGATTTCTTGCCAAGTGTGTGCAGAACAAACATTAAAGGGGAAACCACCCACAGGTGATTGAGTTCAACCCCTCCCCTACATCTTGAATCTATGATGTTCCAACATTCTAATAATCTTAATCATGACGCCATCCGTCCAATCCAAAGAGAGACATTTCATATATGCATTCTGTTTGATTTCTTTCTTCTTTTTTTCTGGGGACCTTCAGAAGCTCTACCAGACGGCCGTCAGCCTCTCAGTATTGCCAGACAGTCTCGTGACAGAGCATCTGTGAGTATACCAGCTGAAACAAACACCAACATGACATCAGACACTAAAACCCAACAAACAAAAATTACAAATCTCAGATAAAAAGCATAAAAAAATCAATACATGAATCTACATGAAAGAACAAATGATGCACAAGAAGTTTTCCATTTCTTGAGTTACTTACATAGTAAGTAAGTGGAGTTAAGAACTCATATGTCCATTTAAATCATTTGCAGTCGTGTCAGAGCCATTTGGGAGATATTTTTTTCACTGAGTGGGTGTCGATTCACCCGGTGACATTTCTCCAGTGGCTCTTGCCGTGACTCCATTTCACTCCTCCACCATGCTAATGATGGTTATTGTGTTTAAAATAACACACATTCTGCGTTTCTTAAATGTCATGCCACTTACAGCATGTCGTAAATGTCTCCTCATACATTTATTAACATGTTGCCAGATATGGTGAACATAGTGTTCACTCAAAATTCTAGTTGAATTACCCATTGGATTAATTACAGTCTACGTGATAAATACCAGGGCTATTCATTTCCGGGCTTCGAGGGCCAGTATCCAGCACGTTTTGGTTTCAACCATCAGGGGTCTCATTTATCAAACATTGCGTAGAATCCTTACTAAAACCGTACTTAGGCTCAGCAAAAAAAAAAAATGTTATTACGCCAAGTAGGTTTGTAATCTATCAAACATGGCGTACGCACAGCTTCATAAATCAGAAACTATCTAGAAAGGTTCTCAGCTGCTTTTTAGTCACATCCCGCCCTCACTACGCCCACTT